TTGGGAAAACATGTTCTGCTTCAGGTCTCTAGATTTGGCTCTTCAAGCTGGCTGACCCTCAGAAGTAAATGTTTACCCTTCAGATTTTCAGACTGCCGTTTCCTATTTTAACTTCTGTTTAGAAAAAAACTTAAATATTTTTTTCTCTGTAGTTATATAAAACTGGTATTTATTGTTTAGACACCAGCCTCTGTCAGTAACATTTTAAAATGTTTGCAGCTTGGCAATTTTAGATATATTTGAGCCACTAAAAAGTCAGTTTTGTATATTGCCTCATCTTTAGATATATAACAATATTAGGATTTGGATTGTGAATATTATTATGTTCTTTTAGATCTGGTCTAATCTTCTAAACAATGAAGGTCACATTTTAAATTGCTTTTATGCTGTTAGGTTTAGTACTAGAATATTAATAGAGTAGATTCAAGTTGTATAAAAATTATACAAATATTAGGTTTATAAAAGAAGTAGGAAAGAAGATTTATAGGTGAATTCTTCATTGACAAACTTGATTTGTTTTATAAAATGATGATTAATTACTTTCACATACTTTTATATACATTTACATTTATTACACATAAATAATACAGAAACCCCCTAATTATGAACTGAATAGGTTCAGAAAAGCTTGGGTGAGTCCAAAATAATCCTTCGTAAGTGAGTACTAGTACTTTCATTTCATGCAGGCAGAGTTGGAGTGAGTTTGGTCTGGTATATAGCTTTATTCACATTTATGAGAGTTTGTAAGAAGTTTGTTAGAAGTTTTTTTGTTTTTTGGGTTTTTTTTTGGTAAATCAGTTCTTTTATGTTTTCTTTGAATTTGGACCTTATGGACCTACACTATGGAAAAAACAGAACTCTACAGAGTATTAGGTAAGAAGACACTTTCTTTTCTTCATTTCAGCCATATAAAGTTGCAGCAATCCATAGGATTAGAACCTAAAGGAAAATTTTGGGTAAACAGGTAAAATTTGAAAATAATGCATGGCTTTAATTCTGTATCTTTAGCTTACTGATTTCCTACTAAACAATCAGCTTTATTCCTGATGAAGTATAGAAAATGCTAGCAGTCACTAAAATCTTTTTGGATTTTCTGCAGGATTACTTTTTTGGGGTAATAAAATTATTAGGATTCTAAAGTATACTAGTTAAGAGCAAGTTTAGTTCAGATTGAAAGCATTTACTTTCTAAATAATTAATTTTCATTTTATATAGTAGATCAATAAGTGCATTACCAAAAAGTATGTAAATCATATAACTTCTCCACAGACTTACAGTATAATTTTAGAGGTGCTTTCTTTATAGTTGACACCAGTGGAACCAATTATTTCTTTTTTGGCTGATTAGGCTGCTCCTATCCTCAAGTAATGAGTGCATTGTAAATAAGAGAGCACGTTTATTTTGTTTTTTGTTTTCTTTTGTTTTTTTTGAAGAGAG